CGTTATACAGTAACGATTTATGGAGAGCAGTGTTTATGGTCTCCTCTTATGCTTCCAAATACTACCTCCTCTCCTATGGCTATTTTACCTTACACATGCTACAGATTGTTGCTTGCTCATCAAAAAAAAAAAAAAAAACTTCGTACCTAACCCTAAAAATCTAATGAACTTGTTGCTTACTTTCTCAACTTGGTTTTGCGTCAATTTTTTTTTGCAGATTATGATAATTAATTAATAGATTAAAAAAAAAAAAAAACGCCATTGCAAGAGCATAGCAACCTAATAACTGCGAAATGTTAGTAACTGGGTTAGCAGCACAATTTGCAAAATTTTGTGTAAAACTAACTATTATTGGCTTTGTGGTTTTAATTACATGCAATCTTTACGTATCAGCAAAGATATGCGTAAGTCGAACACTTTTGGAATTCCAGCGATAAGTAATTAACAGCGAGTACATCTATAGGTGTGTGTGTGTGTATGTGTGTGTTTGACGTCATTTAATGATTACTTTTTATCATGCATTCAACACATTACAAACTCACTTTAAAGGTAAGAAATTGCGGTAACGCACGGAGTTAGTGAGTTAGTGTTCCAAAAACAAATTATAAGCTAGGGTGTGGCATTTGAGACCAAACTTCTATCCGTTGCTCAAATTTCATTTCGTTAGTTAGAGAGAAGATATTGTGCGGCGAAAACAAAAAGGTTCCCGTTCTAATGCTCTCTGGTGTGACTTTCGCAGACAGATTTCAATAAAAGAACTCGAAGGCTATTCATATGCTTTTCTGTTGAATTGAAATTTTTCTATTAACAGATCAGTTTCTTTTAGTTAGAAAAGTGCGATAAATACTACTATTGCGGACGATCAATCGCTAGAACGTGGCATAGAAAGAGGAATGCCATCACAGACCTTGTCACGTTGTCTAAAAATTGTTTTGGAAGAAAACTCTTTTACCAACAGTGAGCGAATTGTTATTTTCCTTTAAGTGATTGGCAATTATTGGATCACCGTAGACTAAACAATTTATAATTCCATAGAATTCCATAATCTAGTGCTGTTTTTATGCCCTACACCACTTGTGGTATAAGGTTGTATTAGGTTTGTGCGGACGGAAGGACTTGACATAGACCCCACGTTTCATTATATTGAAAATGAACCTGGATTGATTAAAGTTTGTCTGTCCCTCCGTACATCTTGTTCTTTGTTGTCCATCTTGCAGGCCATAATTATTAAAATCTTTGGATGATTGATTTCTTAATCAATATAATTTTCCTACTTCTCTTATATATATAAGTGAGTTTACATAGGCCGATCGAAACTGCTTTTATGAATAACATAAATCTATAAACATATAACAATCATACATAAACAGAGCATTTTGAGTAATAAATCATCAATTATGCTAATGATCTCCATAATATTACATTAATTTCGCATTTTACTTCTAATTATATATACAATATATATATATATATATATTGGAAGTTAAGTAAGAGAGAAAATTCGCTATCATTTTTTTTAAATTATGAAATTTTATCACCGATCTGCCATAACTGTACACAAAATCTTTGTTATACACCATTTTTGTCGGGTTGCCGATACTCTTAGACCAATACATGGCATTGATGGCAATCTATTATCTCGAAAGAATAGAGATATAAAACTTCAGACTTTCTTTTGTGTTAAATCGCAGCTTGGTTAGGCAAACTGTCTGCGAGGTTCTGTTTGAATCGACATTTTTATGTGGCAACTAGTTTGCTGCGGGAGACTGCTACTGGTGGCCGGAAGAGGCAATAAAATTTCTCTTATATAAAATTCAAAATCGATGATAATTTCTTTCCTTGTTCATGTATAACTCACGCATATATCTTGATGTTACAAAAGTTACGACAAATCTATCATATAACAGTAAAGTTAAATGCAGTTATTTCTCTTTTACTAATGACTCTTTAAACATTTGCAAGAAAAAGTTTTCATTGGCATACGTTAGGCATTTATTTGTCTTAAAATAACTGATTATATTGTTGTGCTTGTTTAAATTGCATTTAAAAGTCATGCTTTGTAGTTTTTAAATGCAAACATTTCAAACTCTATTAGCGCCAGCGATCATTATTCGCCGCCAAGCTCTACCGAGTGTAAAATTTTCTTTCTTTTTTTTTTTTCTTTCCTTTTTCTCGTTAGTTTTGCTTTTCAATTCGCCTTTTGTTGGTAAAATTTAGGATTTAAGATAAGATTTTTTTTGTTTTTTTTAGAAAAATACTGAAATAGAACTCTTACATCATACATGCAGCAGTTAGTTATCTTATCAGTATGCTAATGACGTGATGACTTGAGATTTGTCATTCGGTTATAATAGCACAAGGCATTTAATCAGTCGTTAGCTATGAGTAATAAACAACTTAAACAAAGTGAGAAAAACTATGTAATTAGAACACGTACGCTATAAACAAGGCTGGCTGATACCAAAGCCAGTTCATTAGTACACGAATATAGAAAATTATTTTAATAAAAATGAAATGAATGTTTAAAGATCGAACCAGACTAATCGGAAATTAAAATTTAGTTTCGCTAATCATCAGTGAAAATAAACTCTACGGAATATTAAACATTGTTATCATCATAACAATAATCATCATAATCACGATCATCATAATAGTAATCAATAGTTCAGAGGAAAGAAAAGTCGGAAGAATTTATTTAATTCCGAGAGAAATTTTAGTGCAGATTAACGGACTTTTCTTTGCATCAAAAGATATTCGACTGGTCCGAGATAATTCCGCGTCGAACAAGGTGAAGTACTAGAACCGAAAACTCATAGTTAAACTCATTTACTTTCGAGTATAGCTTCAGATCACTATAGTTACCGTAAATCCATGTTTGCTTACTTTAAGAGATGTGTATGTTCACATGTATAAGCAGATGGTCTCTAATTTTATTGTCTGCCCCTGCCTTGAAAGCTTGATCAGACAAGGTCCGTAAACCCATCGAATAATTTACAAGCGATTTCCGCTACCCCCTGCTTGCAAGACAATCCTGCATGTGCGAGAGCCTATTATGGACTTTTCTAGGACATATTTAGTACTTCTTTTCGTTTTGAGGAATGTTTACCAGATTACTCCAAACTTGGAACTATATGCAAATGAAACTTTGAAAACCGCTTTTTGATGTAAGAGTTTAAAGAAAAAGGATTTGTGTGGTAGACGGACTTAAATCATGCGAATGTGGCTCAAGCCCCTCCATTTAAATCAATTCAACATTAGATCTACCCAAGAGTAAAGTTTATTTAATGTATAAGGGGCTACAAACGCTTTAATCCGAAATTCACTTTATAGAAGAGCTTCACGAGACCATCTATGACCTCCTTAGATATATATGCGGCAATAAGATATTACAAGTCGAATTAATTATTCAAACTAGCAAATCTTATTAGCGTTTAGTCTGTTTTTATTTAAGAAACAGGTAAAAGAAAGAGTTATAACTGGCGCTTGGACAAATTGCTTACAATTGAAACAATTCACAACATTGAAATCTCTGTGCCGATAGAGGGAACGATACAAACAACATGGTAATTATTTTTTTTTTTTTTTTTTTTTTTTTGTAGCTTATACTTCAAATATGGCATTTAATTTTTTTTAATAGAAAAGAAAAAACTTGAAAGCAGTTTCTTGTACTTAATGATAATGACAAGTCGGATATGTAAAGAGAAATGTTTGCTCTTCATTCCTCAAAAATGATCTGCGATTGTCACCGTCGCGGTCACTTGCATAAATTGTAGCGGTTACCTTTTTATAGAAGTTTCTTATCGTATTTGGGTTCTTGGATGACAGACATCATTACCACAAATTAAGAAGAAGAAGAAGAAAAAATAAATACATATTCCGAAGTAAAGTCGAGATAAACTCTTACTCTACTAAAGCAAAAAAGAAAAAAATTATGTATTTTAGCTTCACAAGTTTTTTGCTGCAGTCTTTCAAGTCTTGGTCTTTTAAAAAATTTTCTTCGCAATCGGAAAGACTGCTAGCAGCGAAAGGCAAAAAAAGAAGCGTTGTTCTTCTTGTGTATATAAAATTTTATATATAAAAGTTTGTGAGTATGTTTATTATGATGCATACAGATGTCTGCTGGATCAGAGGGAGCAAAAATTATGTTTATTTAGGGATTAGCTTAAGCTTAAGCCAAGTCAGTTGAAGCAATAAAGTTCAGAAAATTAAAAAAAAATTCCACAACTTTTTTCAGAGACAAATCGGTCCAGATAGGTCTATGAATCAGTTAAAAAAACAAGAGCAGTTGGCGGAAGTAGTCGAAAGTAGTTTTGCCTAATAACTAAGAACTTATTGCGGTCTCTGTAATTATTATCTTTAACCCGGTTTTGTTTTTTTTTTTATTTATTAACAAAATTTCATCATTGTCATCGCAATTATTTTGCTTAAAAGCACAAAAAACTGTGTATTCTTTAATTTTTATTGTAATCATTTTTTAGAACATGCTTCTTTCTTGCCTTCTTTCCTTTTTTTTTTTTTTTTTTTTTTTTCGTAACTGGGTCAATTGCTCAACTGTGTAAAAAAGCGCAAAATTTGCGTTCAGGTATAGAGAGAACGATTTATTCACTTATTAAAGCAAATCAAGTTTATTGACAATTGTTTACTTTTCCACAGTAAATAACTAAAAAAAAAAAAAAGAGAAGAACAATACAATTGAAAGGAAAAAGAGCAGCAAGAGTTTAATGGGAGGCCAGATATACATATTGCAATAGATAGCTACCTATTCACGCAAGTATTTATACGTATGGAAAGGCAAACAATCTATATTTATAACGAACTTATAGGGAAAAGTAATACAATTGGAAAAGTGCAGAATTCTTTAGTATACGGGAATGAAATAATGAAAGTGTTTGATACATGACAGAGAGAGAGAGCGAGAGAGAGAGAGAGGAAGGGAGGGAGGCAGTTTAAATATGTGAAAATAGATGCCTTATGATATAATATATTATAATCGCACTTACCTTTAACTATTGATTCCGATACTAGACTGACTTCTTCATGTGGTATCATTTCCATTAGACGGGCAATATCTCTGGCTAACATTGTGTCTACAACTTCCAACAGATGTGGTTTCAGCGAATGAAATTTGGAAAAGTCTTGATGTTGTAAAACTTCTTGCATTTTCTTAGTGTCGGGAAAATCGCCAGGCGAAATTGAATGTTCGCGTTGTATGCGATCGTACACTTGACCGATATTTTTTATTAGATCCTTCTTTTTACTATCTTTACCAAAAACCGAAGGCATATCCTTGCGTAGCTCCGATATTATGAACGCATGCACCTTTGCAAGGCGGGCTCGTTTGATTAAATCATTAAGTTTACGCAAAGCTGCATTGCGGGGCAGTGATTGTAAATCGCGGAAGAGGTCTTGTTCTTCGTCTTCGAAAAGACGGCGATTAGCATCGAAACGTAAAGGCTGATCCCAGAAAGATCCTATATATACACGCGCCACCTCGGGCGTTTGTAATACCTTTCCCAATGACCACATTAGCGCACCGTAAACGCGCATCAGCTGCTGATGATCAATCATATCTGCCTTATTAAGAATAATACGTATCTTATCGTCGTGCCCTTTGAGCGCCTCAATAGAACGGCGAAACTCATCGGAAATATCCAATTTATGGGCGTCAAATAATAAAATAATGCGATCTACGCGTTCCGCAAACCACTCTAAAACGCCGGTAAAGTCATAACCGCGATCTATACGTTGCTTTTCACCCGATAAAATACCTGGCGTGTCTACGATCGAAATAGCTTCTAATACCGGCGAATTTACTGTCGAACACTGAAAACGATTCAAGAATGCATTGCCATATTTGCTCAATGGCCGAAATTGTTTATTGGGATCTACTACTAAAGCATTCCCGGGTATTATTCCTTCCTTCTCGTCATGCATGACAGCAATAAAACGATCGGTTGTAGGCTCTGGTCCAATGCGTATGCCTGGGAAATCACGTTCCAATAAATAACGTATGAATGTTGTTTTACCCGTGGAATACTGGCCGACCAATAATATCATCGGTTTTGCATCAAAGTCTGGATCTTCGAGCTTGGGCGAATGAAAGTCATGGAATTGATAATGTTCCTCCAGAGGCAAGAGCTTCGTTTTATAAATTTTCTTCAACTCGCCTATAACATTCTCGACAATTTCTTGATTGACTTTCTCACGCTTTAAAAAACTAAACATCTTGACGTGTTAGCTCCTTTTTGTTTGACAAAACAGTTTACTTCTCGTTTTACTAGTTTTGATTAGCGTGATAATGTACTTCGACCGCCCCAGAAAAATAACCAAAAAACCAACTCAAATGATTCACGCAAGCAAAAAAATTTATTTTTGGAAAAATTCCGTCACTTCTTTCCACCTGTTTTTTTCGTACTTTTTGCAGCTCTTGCGATTGCTTACATTTGATTTGTGCTTTTCACAGATTTGTTAACTAATAGGAATTTAGGATTTTACCATAAGCTGAAAAAAAATTTTCTTACTAGAATTTCTTTCACTTTTTTTTTTGTATTTTTCTAAAAAAAATAAGAAATTGCTTCTACATGTGCAACGAAACTGAAATTAATACGTCCGTCTTTGTTCGGCGTATGGAATCCACTGAAGCAACTCTGATAAAAGACAGCAAATTAATGATTAAATATTGCCACAAGTAAAATTCTATCCCCATTTTAGGGATATGATAAGCTGATGGGAGTAGCAGTAGATTTATAAAAGTGTTTTTTTTTTAAGTTTCGTTGACTATTGATTTGCGTATAAAATAGCTGTCTTTGATAAATAAACCTCTTCTTGATAAACATTATGTCAAATCATAAGCCATTTTGAGTTATTATTTATAAAATAAAATGTTAAAATTTTAAACTCCTTCATTTAAAGTTAGACATCATCATGAAAAGAATAAACGTATTCAAGAAAATTACTTAGAGCGAGTCGTTCTCAATATAAATAAAGAAATCGTTACACATAGACGAAGGGATAATGTTACTTAAATTAACAAAACGTTTCTAAGGGTTTAAGTCAATTTGTGAGCAAATTGTTAAAAAACTTAATAAAAATATTGCATAACTATTTTGTAAGGTATTAAATTCTTAACTTAACTAAGAAGCTTATAAGTAGACCATTCAATTAACGATCTGGCATCTTTTGTATAAGGGAATTTTCAGCCTTAGATTTTAACAATTACATGTAAATGAATGCAAAAAAGTAGATGAAACATTTTAAGAAATAAACGAAACGAATTTTCATTTTTTCTCCTAATTACACGATTAATCATATATTTTCGTTTTTCTTTTCCTGATTACGGAATTATCAAGTAAAATGGGCTAAGGGTTAGGTTCAATCATTAGCCGACAGGAACGTGCTGGAAATTTTAATGAAAAACATTAAAATTTGGTTACAAATCAAATGAGACAAGACAATAAGGAAAATTTTACTTTAATAGTAAAAGCGCTACACTTTAGGCAGCCGCTTTCCCATATTGTTTTACAGAAAAATTTAAACAAAAGCAAACGACTTTAGAATAAATTTATAATTCTTAGTACCGGAATTTGGTTCGTTAGCCTGAAGTTTTGCAATTCGAAATATTGTTTTGTTTATCTTCATAAACTATTTAAATTTTATAATCATAGTTCGGACCATTCCAACACCATTCATTATTTTCTTTAATAAAAGAATTTGATGAACACATGTCAACTTTAAAAGAAATAGTCTTTATTGCTTCATTTTCATTTCTTACAAAATAATATAAAATGCAATAAAATAAATTAAATAAATAATTTTAAAATTTAAATGAAACGATCATCATTTCTTTTTGTGCTTTTTTTCTGTTTTTATGTCTTAGCGCTCTAAACCAACCATCTTTATAGGGAATATTCTTTCGACTCCGAAAAAGAGAAAAAAAACATTTCTTTGTTTACTTTGCATTTACTTTGCTTTCTCATTGTAAAAATTCTCCCCCTCTCCAAGTAGAATAAACTCTCATTCAAAGTCAATGTCAAATGTCATTCAAGAAATGTTCCATTCGTTTTACACGACATGCGCATTAAGGCTTACACACAGTTACGAATGAAAATAGTACTACAAACAATAGCATATGTGAACAATAGTAAAAACGAGTAACATATATATATATATATTATGTATTTAATATATATTATGTATAGTGTTGGCGTCACCGGCGTTCTTCGCTTACACTGTACATGTAAAGCAAGCTTACAATAGAAGACGAATAATTGACAGGAATGCTACGACAGGATTTCGATACAAAACGAAAGCAAAAAGTCGAGTAAGTTTTTTTGTCAATTGACTTTTGCTTTTATATATATTTAATCATTAATAAGAGAAATTTGGACAAACTTTGAAAAGAAAAAATAGTTTAACTGTAATTTTTGATGAAAATTAATTTTGTGATCGTAATTATTATTTTTTGAATATATTTTTAATTTTTATATTTCCTTATGATGTTTGAATTTCAATTGTTTTTTTTTTTCTTTTTAATAAAAATTGGAATTAATTAATTTATTTGTACGTTTAAAAGAAGTTGAAAGAATAAAAAGAAGAAAAATATGTTACAATTTAAGATTTCTTTTCGATACAATACGGTAGACATAGTCGTGATTAAAATTATTTCAAAGTGTCGTATAACACGATTTCGATACAACATGGTATACATTTTCTTGATTCACGTAATATCTAAGCTTAAATTAAATTATTTTATATTTGATATTTTAGTTTAACAAGAGAAATGAAAAAGTTGCACGGTTCCGATGTAACACGGTACGAATTAACCGCATTAAGCGGTGAACGCCGGCATGGAAAATTTTACTTCAGAAAGGATTAGTTAAAAAGAGTCGCAATCGCCTCGACATAGTAGAAACTGATGAATGAGAATTAGTTATGATGATTTGTTCCTTAGAGTGGACCAATTGCAGGCAGGCGCATTCAGAGCAAGCGCGTTTTTAAGGTCACATTAATTAAATGTTAGAGTAAAAGTTGCTTGTGTCTCATACGATGAGAGAATAATGATGTTCTAAAAAGTTGCAAGATGTGAAGAAAGGAATGAAAACTTTAAAGAAACCTTTTGGAAAACAGCCTCTTTGGAAACGAATATTAAATATTTCACGAGCAGCGAAAAGTTCCGACACTAAGACCTGCAGTGCTTACATAGAACAAGCCTCTTGCGAATTTTGTGAGCAGAAAATGGCTTTAGTGGTTCAAAATGGATGAATATGAGGATAAGACAATAGGGGAACAAAGGGGGATGATTCAAGAAGAGAGTTAAATTAGAAACAATAGAAAACAGAAAGAGAGAATATCGAGAGAGGTGCCTTTTTAGTTTGAAGACTTCGAATGCCAACACATAGAAGAAAGGGAAAGGCCATTGTATCATATGGCTATTATTAGTGGACTCGTAATGCTTTCTATAAAAGTCATTACGAATTGAAATCATGTGATCTTGAACAGTGCCTTTTTATATATGAAAAGTAACTCTAATCTCAAATTGAAAAAAAAATTCGTTGCGTCCTACATTGATTAGTAACATAAAGTGGACCTGTCAACGTTAAAACTCTTGGTTCATGTTATCTTTGAAGATCATGGGATCGAGTTACGCTTTTCATTGTATGAAATGCTAGCCCTCCGTGTAGCAGAAGAAAGCGGGTTTTGTTTGAAAAGTGTAATGAAAACTTGACCCACTGCAGTCATATGTCACTACTCTTGACAATTAATTAATTAATTATTTATCAAAGGAACTGGACTAAATTATTATTATCTATAAAATCGATTTTGATCTCTAGTGTGCATACAATCAATTTGACGCGACTATCTAGGGAATATTCGAGGGTTTTGCGAAACTCCTAATGAAATCAACATACAACTGCGACAATTTGTGCAATTGAATCGAAAATTGAGAATAACACAACCTTAGGTAATGTTGAAGGGGTCGTTGTCTCTCTCAAATTTTTTGAATAAGTTATTTATGCAAATTCCGTCACGGTGTCCAGAGATGATTAGTGCGAACAATGCAAAACAATTTAATCAATGATTTCTGTTAGAAACATAAAAAAAACTGATTCGATTCCTCAATTATCTGAAATTTTTTCATTTTACAATAAAAACTTTATTTTGTTTTGAATTTCAAGGTTTAAAAGAAAAATTTTATATACTATACATAAAGAGGTTCCAACATAAGAACATGTACTCAACAATTTAGCAGAGATAAACAGATTTAAAATTCGCTAACAAACGTATATATACGAGGAAGGTGCAGTTAGCATGATTTGGATGGATATGTTTATATTTTTATTGTTAGATTAAAAAAACCATAATTAATGGAAAGACGAAAATTAGGGCTTATTTTCAAACGAAAGAAAGAACATATAAAAGAAAATTTTATTAATAAAAAATTTTTATGCAAAATTTCATTTCGGAAATATTCATAAATTTTATGTAAATCTCTTGAATGTATATGCGTATGAAATAAACAGTTTGTATGTAATTATTTTTTTTATGCAATGTTTTTATTTTGTTAAATTATTTATTTAACATTTTGTTTTTTCATTTTTTTTTCTTTTTTCTTTCAATTCAATTTAATTTTTCTCGTTAATTAATAAATATATATATATATATATATTGTTCTTGTTTTTGGAAATTTTTTTTTTTTTTAATTTTTTTTTTTTTTTTTTTTTTGCAGCACATTACAATTATTATTGTTTTGAGTTCATTTCATTCTCATCGTTTTTAAGTTAATCATAATTATTATTATTATTATTAATATTAATAATAATAACTGTCGTCATTACAAATTTACAAACATCTTGTATATCATGTACATACACATACATACTTAGTAAATAGTTATATATATATATAACTATATATATATATATATATATATATATATATATGTATATGTAGAGAATATAGTTTATATGTGGGAAAGATCTTACTTTGCAATACTATTTAAGATTTCTCTATGACTTTGTCTCTTTTTTTTTTTTTTAATTTCCCCTTTTGCATCATAAAATCTGATTATATTCATATTGTAGATTATTATATATATATATATATTATTATGCATAGTTATTTTTCTTTCTTTCATTTTATAAATATTATTGTTGTTGTATTAGGTAGGTAGGTAGATAGGTAGTTATGCATGTATATAAGTATGTATAAGTATGTGTACAATATTC